TTCCAAGAGTAGTAATTACACTAAGCCTTAAATAAACATATAATCATCCATAAGGACATTGGAACTTCTAAAAATAAACATGTATGTGTTTGTGTGTGCACAAATATGTTTGGGCTTCTAGTAGCATTTCTAAACTCTTCAGTAGTGTCAAATTCTTAAGCATCTACCAGCAATAGCCACAACTTAAAACCACACAAGGCCAAACACAGCAAGATACAGACAAAACGTGCACGGGGCAGCCATGCACGGGGAAGGCAGAAAGGTGTCCACAGTATTGCTGCCAAGGCTGTCAAGTTGAAAACAGTCTTTTAATTTTGCTATAACACATGCAGATCTCAACCACAGTAAAGTCTTCATCAACGGAAGACAAAACTCCCTTTCCCCTTTCGTGATAGCACCTTCCATTTCAAACGGAATCCACTCACAAACGGAGTAGTAATGATCTTTAAACTCAAGGGACAGTGAAGTCCAGTCAGAGATCAGGGAAGGGTGATGCGGAAGAGGCCTCCACCTGGGGAAGACAGGTGGAGCAAAGAAAGCAACACCACGTGGTGCCATAGAGACAACTCTGAGCTCAAAGCACGCCCACTGAAATTTCCTTCACTAGGACCTTCCAGATAGATGCTTCCGAAAGCAATCACAGTCAGGGGTGGGAATGTTGTGTCTATCCAGAACTGTAAATCAGAATATTAATTCCTTTGCTCCTCAAATTGGGCTCCACTGTTTCTTCTGGACGCATCTTACAATGTTAAGTAATATTTCTAAGTACGAGTTTCCTAATACCATGAGAAACATGAACCAATTTCGCTTCAGGTGAAAGAACTAGACATTGAGAACGGCACGACAACGTGGCAGATGGTCCGAAGACAGAAGAGGGAGTGGATCAAGTTCAGACAAAACGTGCACGGGGCAGCCATGCACGGGGAAGGCAGAAAGGTGTCCACAGTATTGCTGCCAAGGCTGTCAAGTTGAAAACATTCTTCTAATTTTGCTATAACACATGCAGATCTCAACCACAGTAACGTCATCAACGGAAGACAAAACTCCCTTTCCCCTGTCGTGATAGCACCTTCCTCAAGGGACAGTGAAGTCCAGTCAGAGATCAGGGAAGGGTGATGCGGAAGAGGCCTCTACCTGGGGAAGACAGGTGGAGCAAAGAAAGCAACACCACGTGGTGCCGTAGAGACAACTCTGAGCTCAAAGCACGCCCATTGAAATTTCCTTCACTAGGACCTTCCAGATAGATGCTTCCGAAAGCAATCACAGTCAGGGGTGGGAATGTTGTGTCTATCCAGAACTGTAAATCAGAAAATTGGGCTCCACTGTTTCTTCTGGACGCATCTTACAATGTTAAGTAATATTTCTAAGTACGAGTTTCCTAATACCATGAGAAACATGAACCAATTTCGCTTCAGGTGAAAGAACTAGACATTGAGAACGGCACGACAACGTGGCAGATGGTCCGAAGACAGAAGAGGGAGTGGATCAAGTTCGCTGCCGCCTGTAGGGAAGGCGAAGACAACTCAAAGAGGAATCCAATTGCCAGAGTGAGTGATGGGGCAGGCAGGGGCAGCCTGAGCTCACAGCAGATGCATCCATGGCTGGAAAGTCCTAGAATATCTCAGGGATCTGCAGCCTCTGTTGCCCCACAGAGATGTAAGAAGATGGCATGATGTCATGTGCTTGTGCTGCCGAGACATTATTTTTTAATGTGTGTACATACGTCTGTATGTTTAAGTATATGCAGATGTTTATGCACTTACATGCATGGGTGTATGTGCCTTTGAGGGCCAGGGAGTGACTTCAGCTGCTTCCTCAGGTACCATCCACCATTTGGGAGACAGGGTTTCTCACTGGGCTGGATCTCACCAGTTAGGCTAGACCGCCCCAGGAAGCTCCAGGGATTTATTATCTACAACCACTTCCCCAGTGCTGGGATTAGAAGCACATGGCACCATGCCCAACTTCCTTTTACTTGGTTCTGAGTATCAAACCCTGTTCCTCATGCTTATGAATTAAGCACTTTACTGAGCCATGTCCCCAACCCTAGGACACTTTAATATCTCAAAATGGGGGCTGATACAGAGCAGACTTGGATCTCTAGCCAGAGCTCTGTCTCCTGTGTTCTGCTCACTATTGGCTGTGTGTATTACAGGAAATTTATAACAGCTGAAGACCAAGTCAAAAAATCAAGGTTTTTCCACATTTGGTTTATTTTAGAAAATAAGGATGGTGTTGAAAGTTTCCACCAGATCTTTAAATCTCAACACTAAGGGTCTTGACAGGGTATCACAAGCAATGCAACAAGGATGGAAGGCTGAGGGAGCTGGAAGTCACATGCTTCCGGGCATCTTGCCCTGGGACCTTCACTGAAATCATAAGGAGGGTGAACCCCCAAACCCCTTCACAGCTGTAGGCTGAACATCAGCAAAGGTGCTGCACTGCCTTCAAACAAAAGACTCTCTCTCTCCCTCCCTCCCTCTCCCTCTCCCTCTCCCTCCCTCTCCCTCCCTCTCCCTCCTCTCTCCCTC